GTCCCACGCGGTACACGCATGCGCGAGCTCGCGATCGACTAGCTGCTAAATAGCCCATGCTTGGGCAGCTGGTCGATGTCCGGGCGAAGCCCTCAGCGGACGTCTTGCTCTGCACGATCCTCTCAATCTACTCTGGCTGGCTGGCTTGCGGCGCACCGAACGTGGCTAAAGGCTCCGGCGGCCGGCCACCAGCGAAAGCGCGTGCCCCGGTACCCAGCCATCCTGAGGCGATTCTTGTAGCAGCAGATGCGTTCTTCGCGCCCATACCGACGAAGCGCGTGCTGCCCTCTCGGCTCTGATCGAGACGCACGCTCTAGTTCCCAAAGTTCTCACGGCGCAATGACGTATTTGCTCGTTGCGGGGACACACCGACGACCCAGACCAGCACAAAGCTTGAGCCAACGTGTGCTTGGTCGGCGAGACGCATAAGAGCTCGCAACTGCACGAGGCGGTGCGTCGATTCAAGGCCGACACAGTGTGAAGCACCGTTGCAACGTGCAGTGCAAGATCGACAAGCACCAAGGCCGCCGTTGGCGCGTGCAATCACGCGTCGGTGCCGCCTCTCTTGCAGCACGACGCCGACATGGGTCTCGCTCGTGGACGAGACCCGGGACGGCGCACGACCTCGTTCTTGGTGTGCGGTGGCGTACGTGGCTGGCGGCTTTCAGCCGACTTGGTGCCCGCAACCCGCCAGTTGCGCTGTTGCGGTCCTTGCATTCCTCTGGCGTGTGGATACATTCCACTACAGTTCGTCTGCAAAGCCGGGCCTGGCGGGAAGGTTAAAATTATAGTTTCAGGTGCAAACGTTTGATCTTGCCTCGTCGTGCTTGCGTAAAGTAGATGTACGCAAGGCGCTCTTGGAACGAGGCGCAAAGCAAGGCTCGGTATACACATCGGCATGTTGGGTGTGGCGATGTGGCGGTCGCGCTTGTCACTTGTATTATCCGGACGACCGGATATTCGCGTCAAAGATCCAAAAAAACCAGGCAGGACGCACGCAATGACGAGTAGCGCCAACGACGCCGCTGCCAGCACCACTACAGCCCGGCGCGCGGCAGGCGCCGGCCGCGGCTTCACGCTCCGCAGCACTCTCAGCTCGCTGCCCAGCGGACGCGACAACAACGACAGCATGCGCAACAACAACAACGACAGTACTGGCAACGACGACGACGGCGCCGCAATGCTTGCGCTGCTGTTGGCCAGCACAGACGTCGACGTCGACATGGGCCTCGGCCAAGAGATGGGTCACGGCGCGGCGGATGGTCACGCGGTCACAGTCGACCCGCACGACCACGACGGCGCCGGGCTCTTCTCTTTTTGCCCCTTTCTGGATTGCGACGAAGCCATGGGCAGCGCTGCCTACGACGATGCAACGTATGCTCTGCTGGACGCCTGTGTGGGCCTCGACGTCGACATGGGCCTCGGCCACGAGATGGGTCACGGCGCGGTCGCTTCGCCCAACGCTTCACGGCCGCTCGTCGTCGATACGGGCAGCGCCCACAACAGCGGCGACATCGCGACGAATAGCAGCGCAGCCACGTCGCCCGACGCCGCGGGGTCACCGGTCAGCGCCTTTGACACGGGAAACGACAACAGCGGTATGGAGCTCGAGCGTGCCGATCAAGATCAGCGGGACACCGTGCTGCACGAAAAGTATTACCGGAACACAGCGCACAATGTACGCTGCTTCCCCACATGTGATACCTTTGACGGTATTGGCATTGAAAGCTACCGCTTGCACACCCGCAGCAACGGGCAGTGCTCGGCACCGTACACGGTCGTCATGTCGTCTGTGTTTCCATTGGGCCAACTGCGCGCAGTGGCCGACTTCTGCCCGCAGAACGCATCGGCGGACGATGCAGCGGCGCCGTCCAAGAGCTGCCCCACGACGACCAACGTGACGTGCAGCGCCTACAGCACCGTCGTCACGTTTCCACCCAGTATCTGGAAGGTGGTGGCGGACCTCAATGTGCACAACGTATTTTACCTGCGCGTGCGTCTCTTTGACGACGAGACGCTGGTTGCCCAGCACAACTCGACGCTTTTTCAAGTGTGCAACATCCCCAAGCGGCGCCCCGCCAAGTCGGCTGCCGGCGGAGAGAAGGCAGCCAAGCGCGCGCGCATAGCAACAACCTGCGCGTAAGTACCACTAGCAGCATTGCATTAGAGACTCTATAGTGTGCACATGTAATATTTATTTCAAAACAAATACCTTTCTTTCACTGTTCATCGTCTTCTCCGCAACTCTACACGTAGCGAGTTTGAGAGCCGGAAGGACGAAGCGATGACAATGTAGTGGTACGGCAGGTACGGGTACGTGCAGCTTGGGCGCACCGAGCGTCACACCTAGCGCAAGCACCGTCAACCTCGCATCGGTATTTGCAAACTCGACGGACCCGACATGTCCTGGATCGCTTGCTCGGCGTGCGCGCGCGTCGAGTACTGTACAAAGCCACAGCCGCGGCCCAGCGGGATCTTGATGCTCAGCACCTACGTGGCCATGAGCGTCCGACTCGTCGACCGCAGAAACGACTTGGCCAATGGCGCTGAACTGCTTGCGCAGATCGTCTTCCGTTATGCTCGCGTCGAGGCCGCCGACAAACACGGTCGTGTTAGTCTCGTCTTCTGGTGACGGCGACGGCTTGGACGGCGTTGTCGGCGGGTGGTGCTTGGCGCGGTCGGTCGCGGCGCTCACCCGCATCGGCCTTCCCAAGCACCCTTCGCCGTGCATCTGCAGCAGCGCCTAGCATCCCATTCGACAATATCTGCAGCAGCGCCTAGCATCCCATTCGACAATGTGGTCGTAGGAGATGCACAATGGCGTGTAGTACCTGGTCGGCCTCGGCCTTGACGCCAAATCGCACAAAGCCAAAGCCTTTGGAAATGCCGCTCATGTGATCGAGCACGACTTTCCTTGGTCGTGGTGGCGGCAACGTGTATATGCAGCAGCATTCAATGCGGGTCACATTGCCTTCCACGTATCTCGGGTGCGCATGACGTGAACAGCGCCGCGGGCTTCGTTTCGCGGGTGGGCTGCCGGGCCAGCGTCATGCGGTCGACAGTGCTGACGAGAGCTCCGTCATCGAGTCCTGGCCGATCTTGCGCTAGGACACGGTCTCTGTCGGGTTCTCGGCGCCGTGCGTCGCAAGGTCGAGGAGGTATGAGTCGGCCATGGGCGGGCTTCGTCACGTCTATGTGCAATGACGGCTACTGCGTCGGGCAGGCGCGACGCTCGACGTTTCAAGCTCAGATGAAGATGACATGAAAACAGGCGCTGAGAGCGCCAGGCGAGCGCGCTTCTTGGCTGTTGTGAAGGTCGGCTTGTGATTGGCCACCCCATCGCAATTAAATTACGACGCAATTTAAAATGGCCATACTTGCAGAGACTATCCGCAAAATCAGCTTGATTTAAATAGCCGAGATTATATTGCGTCCCATGTTCTCGGCCGCCCACTGCTTCGGCAAGGAGGTGGTTTGGTCAAAGAGCGCGAGGCTGACGATGCTAGCTTGAGGATGTCGTACGACAACATGCTCTGGCAACGCTCTATCTCGTGGCATCCTCCGGAGAATTCCACCGTCCTATTCCACACGCGTTTTCACACGTGCGTCACATCATTTCGTTGTATGATCCAATAATAGAGGCTTTTGTATCACTGGCTGGTCCAACGTGCGCATGAGGACCTACCAGGTCGTCGTCGCGTGAAATATGTGTGTATCGCGTGTGAAACACTTCAACTGCTGATCCACACTGCAGCTCCACACTGCACTTGCTCATCTACTAGCCTCTCCAAGCTCAACCCACCTCGGCACTACTACAGTAGGCAGGGTTCACATAGTCTTGTTGCGCTGTGGTTGGCGTTGGCAACGGCAGCTTGCTCGTCGACCGGAAATGGGTACTTGGAGGTTCTGGCAAACGCTAGGTGACAGCACATCATGATGTCTTCGTGAGGCGCTGTGGTATATCTGGGATACCGTGCTAGTTAAAGGACTACATGACAATCCACCCGCACAGCTCATGTTCTGGGAACATAGGCGGCTGTATCCTAAGCCTAGTGATAGATCCTGTCTGCTGAAGATCCTGGAAGGATCTTCATGCCAAATGTTCCATAGCCAACTCATGGCGGAATGTTCTGGATATAGTAGTATGGGCATTAGTAGGGAAGTGGACTGCAGCCACTCCCTGCCCGTTGTCAGTAGACTGAGTCCTAGTGGTTCACTTCAGCATTCGCTTTGTATCCAACACGTTTGGCTTATTGAGGACTAGCCGCCTCCTATTGTCGTGCCTCTCATTGGATCGTGTTGAAGATCGCTTGCTTGCTCGCTTGCTATCTCGGAGTACAGCACAGGCGCCGAGGACTGTCACGGAGGCTGCCAGACACGTAATGCCGTATGCAGGACCCAATGACTCATTTGACAACAGAGAAAGATGAAGATTGCATGCATCGTAGTACATTACAGACATTATGATCCATTTTGTCGTCATGGATAAGCATATGATCAACC